GGCAATCAAAATCAATCATTGGAACGAGATAATTCGTAAGATGGCGCAGGCTGTACTAAAATTTGCCACGGTTCTCTGGAACCGTCGTCGGGGGCCGCGAATCACCCCTCTGGGAAGAACTTATTCATAAGATTATTTCCCATTTTCGTCATGGCGGCGCTGTATCGTTATTTAAGTTTTATATTAAACCACGCTACCACCCGCGGCGCGGTTTTTTGATGGACGAGCGGCGCGTGTCCTGCTTTCCTTCAACGGATTCCGCCTAAACGTGAGATATCGTGGCCCGATCAATTTTTCATAAACGAATGTCCGCGAGTAGCGGGGAATTTTCACGCGACGTCAGGGAAATTCGACCCGTCGCCACCGCCGTTTTTCTTTATTACAGAAACCGAGAACGACGCGCACCCGTTTTTATTGGCTCGATAAAAATCGTCTGGTCCGACATAATTTTCCTTTTCGTTGTAATTTCCTTTCCTCGCATTATTTAACTCTTGATCGATGGAAATGTTTTGGGAATGGAATTATAATATCTTGAAAATTTTTTTTGAAAAGGGGAATAATTTAAAATTTGATCGAATGTATCGAGTATTAATAATAATTATATTATTCGATATTATCTTAATTTGGTAATTTCGAGGATATTCGAATATCTTGGAATTTTTTTCAACATTAATTCAGAGTTCGTAGTTTATAAATTGATATTTAATATTTTTCATAATAACTTTTTCTTATATATTCTTATTTATTATTATATTCTCTACTTTTAATATTATATTGATTTTAAATTGTAATTAATATGTTGAAATAACTTGTATTGTATAGTTTTAGTTTCCAAGTTGCGATTACACTATTAGGATTCTTCACTTTTTTTTTTTTTATATCTTTTTTGATTCTTGCTCGATCTTTTCGAATTTTTAATCGTAGTTGTTTCGAAATTGTCCGTGAAATTTATCATATTCGTTGGTATCATACACGTAAGCTCGGTTATTCCTCAGGGATCAGCAACACGTACGTGTAGTAGACGTTGTTCTTTAATTTTCTATTACGCATACGTGAATTGTATTTTTTGTATTCGCCAAAAATAAGTAAAACGCTTATATATATATAATGGAAAGAACGACAAATTTTGTTTTTTTTTTTTTTGTTTTCATTATTTTTCAGGTCATAAAATTACTATTGGTGATTGATGATCATTGGTTTTCTTTTCTAAACGATGACAGGGTTAAATAAATTGTGATTAATTTATATTTTAGTATTTCGGTTTATTATTTGGATTAGGAACATTAACACATTTGTTCTTTGAAGAGTGAAATGTATCTTTCACTTGAATTATTGATATTAGTTTCGTTTCGAGATTTAAGTAGTTTTAAGATAAATTGGATAGATAATCTTTTACTTATTTTTCACAATTATGCCGAACGGAACTTTCATAGAAATGAAAAAATTTAATTAACAATGTAGGTTAAAGGCATAAATCATCTTCAAAATCATTAACACATTATTCTATTACTGCAAGTGGAGAAAATGAAGAATACTTTACAATTACTCACATAAATTCTGTATTTCGTTAATTATTTATTTATTTTGATTTCTATGGCCTACTTAGAAACATTCTGTATTTGTTAATCTTCAACACTCGAAGCAATGAACATAAGCAACGATCAGGTAATATTTTCGTATTAAACCCTCTTAATTAACATTACTCAACGAAATTGATCAATCCTTTCAAAATAGTATTTTCAATATCCATTGAAAAATTAACTAAAAACCATCTCGTCCATCGAAATCCATTTGTTCAAACTTTCCACGAAACTTTAAACCCAATCCAAACTCTTAATTTCCTCCAATTTCAACAAAATAATATTCACCAAATAATTAAAAATCACCCCCTTCACTTCCAAATCAAGTTCACTCTGTTCTCGCGCAAACTCATCATCCACCCGAGAAGGAGAAGAGAGAAAAAAAAAGAAAACGAACCGGAATATTTTCCCAAATATTAAATTCTCCCCAGCCATTTTCACCACCTACGCCAGAAACGCCAGATCCCGTGAAACCGAAAAGAATCCAGCGGGCTCCGCTTTAATCAAGGTCGGATCTTCGTTTTCCCCACGTCCACGGTCAGGCTATCAAATACAATCACCGAACGTGCGGCATCTTTTCCCTCCTCCCTCCTCTCCTACTCCTCCTCCCCGGCCTACGTCCACCCACCCACCCACCCATCCATCCACCCACCTCGCCAACAGTCGATTCGTTCCCGCTCTCACGAATTGAATCCACCCTTGTGGTGGTGGTGAAGCCGGCTTCCGGAGGGAAGATGAAGGAGCGGAGTGAGCGAGGGTTGCCAGGGCAACCACCGTCGAGAAACCCTCTCTGTCGTTGCCAGGGCAACCTTCGTCGACCGACGATCCCTAAATATGCGCCACCGGGCCAGAAGTGGCGCGAAAGAGGGTGGAACAGGGTGAGAAGAAGAGGCGAGTTGTAAGAAGAGGGAGAATTAGAGGCGGTAGAGAAAGAGAGAGGGAGAGACGGTGCCTCGATGGCACTGGTTGGCGGAAGGAGCGTGTGATGGTGGGTTTGGTAACTGTTACCAGGGAAGGTGAGGAGACCCAGTTAATTACTAAAGCGTTTTAATCGTCGGCAAAGTTCCGACGGCACTCAGGAGTCCCGGCCAAAAGGGCTTCGGAGAATGTGGCGGCTGTGTAAATTAGGAACTCGCCAGTTTCTCCGTACCGCCGACTACCACTGCGCGCCACTGTTCCACCAAGTTTCGGGGAACGCGGTTTGAGAAACGGATGGATTAGCGGTTAACACGGAGAGAGATTTTTTACTTTTCCATGGAAATAGAGAGGGAACGGAGAAGGGGATCGAAACGAAGACCAAGAGTGAATTTTTTATTTAGAAATTTATTACACGCGAGAATAGGAACGAAGATATAAATATTAAGATAAATCGCGAGTGCGAGTGAACAAGTTCGCAGCGATAATTTGTGAAATACACTCGACGAAAAATCGATCTGTTGAAAAATTTCCGCGTAAGGAAACGATTGAGAAAAATACTGCGCGATAACGATCGAGTTCGACCTCGATGAAATATCGAGAGGAAAATTCAAATTTTTCCATTTGATTGAAAGACAAACGCGCTCCTCCGCATAGACGAGGAAGCGGGGGCCAAAACCGAGAGCCATCCTTTCGTCCCGACGTTAAATAACTTTGCTTAACAAGGTGCCGCCGCTGTAAAAAGATTACGTAAGCGGTAATGGCCGCCGGCTCCTCCTAAATTCGAGAGAACGAAGAGTTCCATCCGGCGAGAGTTCCACCGCGAGCCGTGGAAGAGAGAGAACACACGGGAACAGAAATGGCGAACAGCGTGGCGGCAGGGTGGAGGGAGAAGCGACACGACGAGCCAGGTGGCGGGGGTTAATTTTAATTCCTAATTTTTCCCACCCCGAGGCGCAGGTAATTTCCTCCCCAGAAGAGAATAGATGTAATTACTTAACGCCTCCGAGCTCTGAGCTCCTCTTATTAAAAGAGGATCGTGCCCTCGAGGGCTGGAGGGGTGGAAGATACGCCTCTAGTGGGGTGGTGGGGGGAGAAGTGGTGGAGGCACAACAATCGTCGGGAGAAACGATCGCGAAGAAAGGGAAACGTTGTCGGCCTCGTTCCATCGAAGATGGACAACGTTGGTCGACGGTTTCTTTCCGTTATACTTTCCATCTTCGAAAGCATCTCCCACTTAACTCTTCGTTCCGATCTAAAAAAATTTATTTATTTATTTATTTATTTATCCCGTCCCATAATAAAATTTTCCTCGAGCGCGGAGAAAATATGTATGTGTAAGTGCATGTTTACAAAAAAATAGATAAATATAAACAAATAGAATGAAAGAGAGAAAAAAATAAGCGAAGGAGGAAAGGAAAATAAGAGGAGGAAATATGGAGGACGATTTTTCCCGGAGAAGAAAATTTCTAGCTTCGAGGAAGAGTGTATCTGGCGGAATTGGAGGCTAAGGTCGAAGCTGTTGGCCAGGCTTCTCGAGCCAGGGGTGGTTTCCCCGAACGCAGTGGGGAAGGGAGGAGCCATCTTGCGGCTGGTTTCAGGGCAGCCACCAATTGATTCATCCCCACCAGGGTGCCTATTACCGGGAGGAAGGGGCGTCGATTCAATTCCAGGGCAAAAAAACCGTGCACGAGGCGGAGTTCGCCTCGTAATCCATCCGTCCCCATTGGCCGGGAACGGAGTGGCACCCGTGAACCCGCTATCCGGCCGGCCAATCGGGCGCCTCTGGGTGGCGATCCAAACCAGTTTCAAATCCATAGACAGAGGGGAGCCGTTGACTTCGCTCGGCAGCCAGATAGTGCTGTGCCGTTGGCTCGTGCCGTAGTGGTCCTAAACACACTAACAGGTCCTTGCCAGGCCGAGGAATCCCTGGAATCCGCTCGTCGCGCGAATTGGCCGAATTCGAACCACGCACCCCGCCGAAACACCCCTTTTTTGGTGACTCTAATCTCGTCAGCTGATCAGTGTTTTCGTGGCCGGCCAATTGCGTAACCTCAGGTGCGATCGCATTGTCCAGCCGTTGTCTTTAACAAGTGTCATCTCTCTGACTCCAGTGATATTTTGTTTGACCGAGTGTGTTTTTACCGAGATGATCCGGTTTCACTTGGTGACTCTTATAAGTTCGGTGCGTTGAGGGAAGATGAACATTCGGGACGAGGATTGGACAGGGTCTTAGACTGATGGGGTTATAACCTGATTTTTCGAAGAAATTGTTTTCAGTGACTGATATGAGTGATAATTGTCGGGAAATTGTGACGGAGAAAGGGCCGAGAGGATTGTCGAGATTCGTGTTGACGAATATTGACTCGAAATATTGCTCGAATAAACGGACAGTTTTAATCGTTTCGTGGAATTTAAGATTGTTGTTGTGAAATTTATCGAGGACTTTGATAAAAGGAAGAAACGAGTAAAAGACTGAAGAATTGAGATTAAATATAGCGAAAGAGCAGAAAATTTGTTAAAATCCTTCCGTCGAAGGATCTTTTGAAAAAGCGAAAAAGACTTGGTTATCACAGATAGACAGGATTCTCTAAGCACGCTTCCCGACGGCTGTCGACTTGCCACAACACACGTTAACACAATCGTCTTCACATCTTCGCCAACCATTGATCACCGACAAATATGAACACCATTTTATCCACGTATCGCAATCTTTAAAATCTACATTTATTCCAACATCAAATCTCTCGTGTATATAAAATGTAAACAAACGAAGCATCTCCAACAGTCTATACTCGACAAAAATTTAACAACAATAATATCTCTCGGGCCTTCGAGCGTTCCAAGAAAAACTTCACAACATTCGCCAGTTCATATGAAGCTGATGGAAGCGCGGCCTCGTCGCTCGTAGTGCGTCATCGAGCTCGGAAGGATATAGATGCAAAATAAGTGAGATCTCTCCAGTGGAGAGAGAAACAGTCGCCACGTTGGTACCAAACATGGTCCTGGAGCCAGGAGGTGGTCTGTCCTTCCCACTGCCTCCTGGTAGCGGTTCCGCCGGTTCCGGTGGTTCCCTGCTGACACCGGCCAGACTGTTCCAGAGGGCGACACCCGTGTTTCCGTTCCACCTGGCAGGATGGCCACCCCATCATCCGGTCCTCGGCCAGGTACAAAGCCAGGTACAACAGACGATGCAGGCCCAGCATCAGGCGGCGGCTGCCGCTGTCAGGTTCCTCAGTCATCATCATCCTCATCATCCGCATCCGGCACTGGGGAACCACCCCCTGGTGCCGGCGATAACTAGCCACCATCCGACCGCCCATCATCTTCATCACGGTGCCGATCACGCCGACGAGGATGACGAGAAGAAAGGTAAGTGGCCTTTATTTTTCCTCCTCCTCCTCCTCCTCTTCTTCTTCTTCTTCTGTTTTTCCTTTTCTTTTTCTTTCTCTTTTTATTACAGAGTTTATTACGAACGTTGTAGCCAAAGTATTTGGAATAATGAGCGCGGCAGATCACGTTTGTTTGTCGGTGTTTTGATTCGTAGGTGTTTTTTCTTTGTTAGAATTTTCTTAGATTAATCGAATTAATGACTCTGTTCGTTTGAGATCAGGTAATTATCGGGGATGGATGAAATCGATCTTTCTGTTCTCGTATCGTGTTTTTTTTTTTTTTTTTACTTTTTCTAGATAGTTTGGTATATTTTAGAGATGCACGTTACGAGATTGTTTTAATTTCGTTCGTTTCTCTTTGGTCGTTTTTCTAAGGGTGTATTTATAGTATTTATGCAGAAGATACGTGTCGATTTATTACATCGGTCGTTTTTAAAACCGTTTCATCGGAGGGAAAAAGTGGAATAATGAGTTAAGAGAGAGAGAAAGAGAGAGAGGTATCCGATCCACTTTTGGACTAAATTGAAACTCAATTTCGAATTCATTGCCAGGTTTCCTTAACTAACGATAGTTTGCATACTTATGCTACGATAAGCTGCAATTTTGAGGCAAATAAGATAGGGAATCTGCAGATTGCTCGATAGTTTATTGCTCGATTTAACTAGGAAAATTAAACTGTTACTCCGTGCTTCTAATCTTGGCTATATTAAAATAGATTAGAAACTGGCTTCCTCGCATATTTGATAAAATGTCGAACGGGTTTACGAAGGAAAAATTCAATTAATTGTCTAATAATCTCCTCTCGAATCTCAACGGATGATATTTGTTTTTATGAAAAAAAATTACTTTAAATTTCGATGTTTTTTTTTTTGCGGTAAATAATTGTTCCGTATTAGGAGAAAATTATCTTCAATTTGGTTAAAATTTTTTTTTTACTGAAAAAATAAATTTTTCACTCCACTTGGTTATATCGAACCAACTTGTTTCTCGTACTTTTTCCCCTCCGCGTTATTAATGCATACGATGCGTGGTTTAAAATTTTAATAGGGGCTCGAGAAATAATTTCATCTATTACGAGATGGAATCGTACGTGGTTGTTATATTTCACGAAGTGTAACTCGGTTATCATTTTGCACAGCGGCATAAACATTATTGTTAAGCGTCTAGTGAGTCAGGCGTAGCGAAGTGATTATCATAAGCCGGATTATTTATAATAAGTAAATGCGCCGGAATGTCTCGCGTTAATATTTTAATAAACGTGATATGGAACCAGTTTCGCGTTTCCAGCTTAGTTGCAATGATATTTCCGATATAATTAAAAAAAAAAAAAAAAAAAAAAACGCTCTTCGACTGATGCATTATTTTTCGGCTATTGGGAATATATGAATTTCGCAAGTTTCTTTAAATCGACAAGAAGTTAGTGTAAAATTTTAAGTATAGTAATTCCTAGAAAGAAATAGGTTTTACCGACCAAACGTGTTAAACGGGAATTATTAAAAAAATTAATAATTGCGACATTAATTAATACGAACATTATAAAAATTATGACAACGTTATCCATAAAAATGTGAAATCTTATGATTAACTTCCTCTTTGAGCCTTTCAGAACCAAAATCATTCGCTGGCTTATGGAAAAAAATTTCTATTATCAATTTTCGAATAAATTGACTGACACTCGTCCATACCTTAAAAATTTTTTATAAGTTTACAAGAGGAGAAATTAAATAATAAAAATGTCTTCTTTGAAATCTTTTTGCATCTTGTATGCATTCTAATTTAAGAAAAAATTCTGAAATAAGTAAATAAATAAAGAGATTTACCTTTCACTTAATTAACAAATAATCAAAAGTTCATCATCAATGTGTTCACAACGCGAAACGAGGAGGATTATACAATCGGACATTCTCGATCACAGTTCAATCCCGGCCACCCCAAACACCCCAAATAGCCCATTCGAATCGAATCTCGAGCCGCACGCGCGCTTCTTCCTCCGTGTATCGGCCTCCAGTTCGAACGTATTTCCAGGATACGTTCGGAAAATGGTCTATAGGGAGTGTCGTAACACGGTCAATCATAAGATCGTTCCTGACGAGCCCCTGGGATCGCTTACAGGGTTAGCCCCAATCCGCAACGCCCTTTTTCCACCCTTCCTTCCAAGTTGACGGCCTGAAATCACGTTTCGTGTACGAGATCGAGGGTGGAAATCTGTTTTTTACGTGATCCCATTCATGTCCCTAACGCTTGTTTATACCTCGAAGGGAGCGCCACTTAACTCTCTCTCTCTCTCTTCTCTCTCCTCTCTCTCTCCATCTTTTCCATCTTCTCCTCGTTTAACTTTTTTTTTTTCCCTCCCCCGGTTCCGTTTCGTTGGAAACTTGCGTAGAACCGTGGCGATCTTGACCATATTCTTGGCAATGATTTCTGTTTTTATTTATCGATGGCGGATGACTCGTCGTTCCAGAATATTATGATCGAATCATCGAAGATTTACGAGCGTCAGCTTCGTTCGAAAACAAACTGTTCGGTTTTTTTTCGATGGTAATTTTGTTGTTAAAGTTCACGCGATATTCCGGGTTATTCGCGTGAATTCTCGATGATTTTATTTTTTTCCTCCTCCTTTTTTTTTTTTTTTTTTTTTTGTTTTCTTTCCCTTCCCGTGAAATATAATGTTTTCGTTATCGAGTCTTGTATGCTTATCAATTTGAATGGCGAATAATATTTGTATAATATTTTTCCACGTTCTTCTGAAAAATGATCGTTTTACCGATATCTTCAATCATTCTAAAAATCTGAAAATATAGTTTCGATAAGTAAACAGCTGTTCAATTAGAACCGCTAATTGATTCGTCGATTTCTGCAATAATTCCATCGATCTGTAATTCTTAAAACCAATTTGCGGAGAAACTGTATTAGATTAAGAAAAAGTTGAAAGAGTTTTAAACTCGCCAATATTCTTTCAAACATTCATTCGCGAAGATTGTTATTGTAAATTAAGAGAAGAGAAAGAGAAAATTTCACAAGATGAAGATATTTGGAAAACGATGGAGAAGAGAAGAAAAAAGAGGGAGGACAAAGAGGAGCGGTTCGAAACTCGCAATTCTTTCGAGCGTTTTCACAGCACGCGGCGCGTTTAAAATAATATTCTCTTTCTAATTTTGCTAATGGGCCAACGAACGTAGGCAAGCGTGAACGTAAAACGCGAACTGCATGTGCGCAACCTAACTAATGAGTTCCTCGAGTGTTGAACGTAACGCTGTTTAAGATAAACGTGTCACGTCTGACAGCCGTGAGAGATCAGCACCGCGAGGTGTCTCGCTTTCTTTTCATCCTCTTCTTTCCCAACCTTTGAAACCATCTCGAACGAGCATCTCGTTTCCAGCTAATTTATTGGTCATTGCAATCAATTTTGAACGATTAGGGAACGATTCGATCGAATGGCCATTCGTTGCAAATTGATTAGGGGATGCTGGATCTGTCTTTCATTAACAATAACGATATTTAATCCATGAGTTCTTTCTTAAATTTTTTTCATTATTCGAATTAATTATCCGGTATAAAAAAAAATATATATATCAAGAAAAGGGAATAATAGCTATATAGCGCAACGTCGAGATATAATTTCTCAGACTATCCCCCCATTATTTTCTCCGGTGAATATTATTAAAGATATCTCTTTAATAATTCGTTGATAATTGATAAAAAGGTATAATAGACGAGAAAGTAACCAGCAAGAAACTGGAAAAGATATCTCGGAGGCACGGTCTCCCATTTAATTAGACGGGGGAGTAATCGAAGTTCGGACGTCGATAATCGGCTGGTGGTTTTATTGTTTTTCACCGCCGGTTTTATTTTAACGTTCCCTTACCGTGTTTTATTCCATTTTGACGGGAAATTACGTGAAATTTTCGTATTCGATCTCCTACGACCAATTAATTCCGAGGGACTGTTCACGACGAGTAATTATTGTGAACTGATTATAGTCCACCGTCTCGAGTTATTGAGTTATTTTAGTAATAAGGATAGCTCGAGGAAATTGATCGGTTTTCGTGGAATTGTAATTGAAGACTGGTTTCTTTGATGGGCCACTGTTTGATAAACTTAAAATTAAATATGTTATTTTTATTTATTTTATTTTATTTTATTTTATTTTTATTTTTATTTTTATTTTATTTTTATTTTTATTTTTTTTTCTCTCCTCTTTGAACGGTTTCAAGTAATTTCAGTAGATGTGGTATATAGTGGTGTATTTTTGATTTTTCATATATTATTTATTTTCTCGGTATATTATTACGGAACAGTTATTTATCTCGTTAAAAACATCGTCGTGAAATTAGATTCTTTTAGAAGTTTATTGAAGGTTATTGAAGTTTTATCACGTTGTTGGTAATAAGTTTGTGATTATTCTATTTAAAGAACAGCCCACCTTCGCAATTCTAGATTTACGATTCTTGTTATTTGAGAATATTTTTATGTTTCTCAGATATCGTTATCTCCAGGCTTTATTATCTATTTTCTTATCTCGAAATGTTGTTGAAATATATTCTGAATTTGTATATTTTTAATACTCAATAATATTAATGAATTAACGAGTCGAAGTTTTTTCTTTTTTTTGTGATTTACAGACTTTTATTTCATATTATTTTTACAATTTTGTATTAAATCAAATGGTTACGCGAGTTTTTAACTTTTAAAATTTACACAGTTTATTATACAAACTTGTTAATTGTCGTGAAATAAATCATCAATCCGAATTAATAAAAACTTATTAAAATTTCAATATACCTTGTAACATCTTGATAATTATAATACTCGCAACATTTCAATATTTATAACGTGAAATAATATATGAAATATCAAATATAATATACATCATTACTTATATAACAAAATTAGCTCTGTTAATTAGATTATTCGATTGTATGAATATTTATATGAACATTATTATCATCATCCTCCATATATTCCTAATAATGTTGATTA